CGTAGGACTACGTGGATATATTAAATTGAGGTTCTTCCTTCTATGGATGTTTTTCTTCCTTCTATGGATGCTCATGGGGGCTGCAGCTCCCTGCTTGCAGGTAGCCTTTCGTTGTGTACTGGAGAACAATGTTCAACGCCACGCGCCGAAAGCTCTGCTGTTGCAGCTGCAGCTGATGCCGACGACCGAACACCACCACACACGGTGATTGGAACTGAATCCGATTAGCGGGTGTGGGCAGCCCTGATAGCTAGCTGCTTGCAGGGAGCCTTTCAATGTGTACTGGAGAACACCACCACTCACCACGCGGTGGTTGAATAAACATCGTTTGATGAGACCGGATGGAATTCAACTTTGAAATCTGTGTAAGGGAAATCACTTTTCACATTTTGACATTTTGAAAAATCACAAGGTCTTAAATTTAACAGATGCATAGGAATATTTCTGATCGATTGGTGATACAATTATTAAAATTGGTCAAGGGGCAGCTGAGTTATTAACGTTCAAAATCTTTCATAATTTTGTTACATTTTCGATTTTTGGTTTTCACAAAGTGTACCCCCATATAGAAATCACAGACGTAGTCCTACGTCAAAAAACAAAAATATTTTGCTTGAACATTTTCACGGTGGAGGAAAATTGCATAGAAATACAGGGAAAACCATTTTACCAGAGATGATTTTTTTCAATAACTTTTCTCTTAGTTGCTTGGGATTGTTCAAAAAGTTCAACTTGTTTTGGAAAAATTAATCATTCTGAATGTTTTGAAATTTTGATTCGTTCATGGAACGATAAACTCTACCTGTGGGCATTTCATAACACTCCGAGACCTTTGGTCCTATTTTATCGGCTAATAAAAAAAAAATCCTCAAATTTCAAAATTTTGCACGGCAAGGTATGGTAGAAAACTTTTAAACCGTTTATATTTTTCGAATAGAGTACTGTAAACTAGGGGAAGGACAGCTCCAAGTATCAACATCAATACCGATGGTGGAAATATTAAATATTTTAATATGTGTGATATTTACGAATCTTATACCTAGTCTGACAGTTGTTTTTGTTTTTGAATATTTTTGGTTTTAAGTGAACATTTAACATTCGTTTAATCAAAAATGGATTTCTCATGAAAGGCAGTCATTCTTTGATGATCTTGCTGGCCACCGCCATCAAAATCCGCTCCTTGTTCTCATAAATTCGGCATTATTTGGTAGCAGATCTCAGTGCACATATTCGGCCGCACTTCCGTTACTAGGGAATAGTCATTAATTTCCATGAATTCTTCATCGCCTACGAACCAATGTGCTGTCCTCCGATGGAACGGGAATCAACTGACTACGTCGCCCCTGTAAACGGAGTTCCAGAGTGATGGTTCCGTGGTCATATTACGCTAGATTCAGCTTGAGCCAGCAATTTGAAGAGATTTGCTGCTGGGGAAACGTCCAGTGGCGTTTCTATCATAAAAAGCCTCGAAATCGATCAGAAAATCTAGGCAGTAAATCTATTATGACAAACAGAAAACTGTAGTAAACATAAACAACAACGGTGAAACGTCATTGAGTGTATGCGTTAAAGTTACACTGTTATCTTTTTTACTTCGAAGCTTTCCACAGTTAATATCATTAATATTTATATTAAATATTATAATAGCTACCTATTTGAGCAATTTTTACACCAAATATTACTTCAGATCAAGTTGTACTTCCCTAGACTGTCAATTAATTTGAGTTTTACTGTGGTGTATAAAAATCTATCTATTTGAACCACTTTCATAAATTTTTCTCTTTAAAGTTCTAATATTTATTATTACGTCAATTGAGTAGCCCTTATGTTTTTATCCCCGAAGAATTTTAAAATTTCAACCGTATAACTCACCGTACAAAATTTTGAAATCTGCATTATCAGCCGTTTATCAGTGGTAAGCGTGATTACCTCTCACCTCAGCAGGCCTGGGTTCAATCCCAGTCGGCGCCGCCGGGATGTTCTGAGGCATAACATCTCTGATCACGCCTTCCTTCGGATGGGAAGTAAAGCCGTTGGTCCCCGGTTCATGAATTGATGGGTCGATAGGTAGGGTTGAGGTGTGAGAGCTGCCTTTCTGGCACGTCGGTAGTATTGGTGCTCAGCACGGAAAACAAGATCGACGGAAAAAACAAACCAAAGGAAAAAAAAAAAAAACAAAAAGGCCGTTTATCAAGAGAGCCGCGAGAATCAAAGTTTTAATGGCCTATAGCCGTCGTTCGATGCTTCCATTCGCCTACTTCGATCGTCCGATTTGGTATGGTATCATCGCCAGTGGTGGCACGAGTCCTGGAGTTTAACATTTTTTCCTTAACATTTGATACTTTTTGCGATAACCATTTTGACGACACACAAAAACAAACTGGCAAGCGGCAAAAATGTCATGACATTTCTAAACTGTTTTCTGCCAGCGACAGAACATTTTCGCACAAAGAAGCAGACAAGACCGGCGGCGCGCGCGACATAAATTTATGTCGTGTAGAATTTTGCTGATTTCTGGCTAATTACTGCATTTATTTGATGTTTATTGCATGGAATTAAAAGATAAGAATGAAGACTGACCACTCATAAGCATTGATGTAAAAATTATGCGTAAATAAGGGAGTTGGTAATTTACTGTCACACGCAAGCTTGCTGCTAAAATTTCATTACAATAAACTGTTTGGAAAAATCAGGCTGCGAGATTTTATTTATTCTCTATCTCCGCTGTTCGCTTGGAATGTAGTTATAAACGGCCGCCCGTGTGCTGGCTGTTTTGTTTCGCTCTGGACGATGGTTTTTCAAAAAATGTACTGTTGCCACCTCTGATCATCGCACACATGTTTCTTCGGGCACACGACTCACTCCCGATCTGCAGCGGTACCCTTGTCTTCACATGCCTTTCCTCGTCCACCCGCACGATGAGGTGCGTTGTTGAACTTTGTTTTTGTGTTTGGTATGTTTCTGTTTTTGTTTTCCATTTTTCCGGCTAGAGCTAGGCCTACTCTGGTTACTGCGGAGTCGATCGAAATTGTTTTCAAGTTTAAAACTGTTTTACTCTTTCTCAATTGATTTCCGATTGCTCGACACCCCATGACTCCATCAAAATTTATGTCAACAAATGTTTCGCCAAAGTATGTTTTAATGCAATTCAGCTGAGTCATAAAAACTATGCTGGTTTTCATAGGGCCTGTTCATAAACTACGTAGACAGTTTTTTGGGATTCTTGACCCCCCCCCCTCCCCCTGCGTAGACAATTGTCCATACAAGATTTTTTAAATTTGTATGGGCCCTGGATAGTTGTCAACCCCCCCCCCCTCTAAACTGTCTACGTAGTTTATGAACAGCCCCATACGTTAATCACTGAATATGTTGGTTTTTGCCTTAGACCTTAATATTAAGAATGTGTTATGAAAAAGAATGGATAATTTTTATGAAAAAATAATGCTTTACGTCAGATAAGAACGGTAACTGCATTTGTGTCTTCTGAATGTTTGGCTCCCGTTTGACAGTTAATAGTAGCTCCCAAATGGCAAGCACACTGAACGAGTCCGTTGTACCCAGAGCCTACTATGCTTTGGTAGACCTACAGTTTGTTTGTTGTTTTTTTTTTCTCTCTCTATCTCTCTATGCTCTAACTCCCAATGCGTATAGTACAGAATAGTGTGCTGGTGGAGACACCATGTGTAGATTTGAGTTTCAAGGTATGACACAGTGTGGCTGGCATTCAATTCATGCAATAACAGAGCTCATACAGGAAGCTTCGTGGAAATCTTATACATTTTGTATTTTTGATTTTGAACCAGTTTGGTGGAGAGGAAGGAAATGCCCAGGCAAGGTTAAAAAGTAGAATTGTTTGTAAGAAATGGTCACGCTAGGGGAATTAAAAAGGAGATTTTTCAATACCGATAAGGTATTATAAAATCATTAAATTTTAACGACTGTTCTGCAATTTATTTCATCTCATTTCCATAACTCGTCGCTACCGAAATTGATGCGTAAGGTTTACCAAAGCTGCTGTCAGACAAATTGCCTGCGGTAAATCTGAGCTGTCCATTTTCCCCGCGAACGAACCGCAGTTCTGCTATTGACACCCGGCGCACGAAGACCTGGGAAGTGGGCAGACCAGACATTACCACCATCATCATCATCATCATCATTTAGCACAGAGAGGGTCATTCTTGTCCTTTGTTCTTTCGATGAACGGTTTTCTGATTACAACATAATTATCGTGTGGCATTTTTGTCTTTCCAGGCAAACATTTTGCATAATTTATCTGATTTTTCCCCTGCGGTTGAAACCTTTCACCATCCACGGTCAGCTTGTCATAACGGGACAGTCGCAATTTTCAAAATTAAAATTTACACCCAATATAGCTTTAATCAAAGTAAACCGAGGAGCAAGGACAACAACAAAATATCATAGCCGCCTTGATTGGGCGCTTTTTGTACTCTTCTCACTGGTAACGCGTGTTGTTTAACTACCACCAATTTCAAATATTTGTATTACAATTTATCAATCAATTCCACTCCAACCAACCAGGACATGAGGAACGGAGAGCGGAAACATATTCAAATAAATCTGGCACCATACGGGCATTTGAAATGCAAAGCGCCACGGAACGTGTTGGATGATAAATGTTTCAGTGAAAATTACACATTGATCAGTGAGAGCACCTATGGTGACATTTGTCACGCACCTGTAGAGCGGTTTTTAATTTTGTTTTATCGATTGCCGTCTGGGTGGAAACAGGTGGACATTTGGTGTTATGGGTGAAACATTTGGAGGCAACCTTCAACAAGCGTTTCTACGAAAGAGTGCTATAAGTATTGGGTACCGTTAAGCTCGTCAATTTTCCAAAAAAAAAGACAATGCTTTAATTATTGTATATAAGAGACGAAGTAATAAATACAATAAATTACAACTGTTTTCGGTCTGGCTCTGGTTTGATCAATATAAAAAGATCGACTGTTCAGTGTACTGACATCACTCGCTTACGGTCAGCTCACCGTTTTAGTACGATCCGAAAAAAAAAATCATCCACGGCAACATCAAACATGAAGGTAAGAAAATCAACTCTTCAATAACCCAATCATCAGCTAATTGATCGTCTAAACCATTTTCTTTCCGAAAAGGCGTTCGTAGTGCTATCCATGGTTTTGGCCATCGCAGCCAGCACGGCAGTCGACGATTCCAGCAAGAAAGAAAAGCGTGGACTTTGGGAGCTGGGATATGGCCAGGACCATTCCGGTTTCGATAACCATCCCCATCAATTTGACCATCACCAAGAAGTCCAGCACCATACCACCATCACCAAGAACGTTGCAGTCCCGTACCCAGTTGAGGTCGTCAAGCATGTTCCAGTTGAAGTGAAGGTCCCATACCCGGTGCATGTCGAGAAGAAGGTTCCAGTCTACGTGGAGAAGAAAGTGCCAATCTATGTGGAAAAGAAGGTTCCATACCACGTTGACCGCCCAGTCCCATACCCAGTCGAAGTGAAGGTCCCAGTTGTCCACAAGGAATACGTCGAAGTGCCAAAACCGTACGCAGTTCATGTTGAGAAGCCCGTTCCAGTGTACATCCAGAAGCCGGTTTACATCGAGAAGCATGTTCCAGTAACCGTGCACATCAAGGAGCACAAGAAGAAGCACTGGGGACTGTTCTAAGCGGTGATCTGTCTGTTTGCGTGTAAAAACTGTTAATAAATGTGAATTAGTTCTTCATAAATATTTGTTTTTCTTTGTATTCATCTTGAAACATAAGCTTACTGCAGCTTTTGAAGTAGTAAAAAAACTTTTTTTTCTATCTCATCATGAAACAAAGCTGGAATCTAAACAAAACTGAATGGTAAATTTTTGCGGCTTTTTGAGTCCAACTTATCGCCACGATGACGTAGAAAAATAGGAAAAAACAGCTTTTTGGGAATAGCTCTAAGTAGATAGATGTGGGCTGCGACGATGTCTGAAGTATTAACATTTGTATTCCTGTTTTTTTGAATGTTCACCACTTTATGTACACTCATTGTACTGAATTTTCAGACAGCATTTCAAAAATATATTCCAATTATGTTAAGTGCCATAAGCATCCAAATGACCATCAACATAAATCGTGCATTTGTGTGCACATTGTGTTTACTGCACTTGAAATGGAGAGGAATATTTTACTGCCACCGTTTGTTGATTACAAATCTGTATTGCTGTATAATACTCTTCCGATTGCTATTAGTCAACTTATATTTGATGTTTAGTCAACGATCATACCATTTGCCACACATTTGCTTAAGTGGAAATCTAAAGGTAAATTTTAGACTAATAATAACAACATAAATAATTAAAAACCAATTAGTTGACATCAAAGTAAAGCAGTCCCATAACAAAGATAATATATGAAGCGATAGTCCATTAAATTTTTGAAATAAAACTAGAAGGCTAAATAAGGGTCGAAGAATACTGTTATGTAAAGCCTCAAATGCTTTAAATGTGAGTTAATGCTTTCGGTTGATTAAAATTACCAGATTTAGATGTATAAAGGTGAACAAAAGTTAACGTGGTTTATGTACAACAATTATTAAATAAGGATGAATTAAAATCGTTGAAAGAACACTTGCTAAGCATCAAAGTGTTACCTTGGTAACCAAAATTATAATTTTAATTTTAATATGGTTTTTGTTACTCAAGTTTAAAAAAGGTATATAAGAAAATGGATTGTATTTTTTCTAAAAATCATATCATAAAAATGACATATCCGATCAGAATTACATCTGTGAAGAAGTTGATGAAGGTTAAATGGTCCATGAGGAAAAAAGGTCACAAAGAAAAAACTCATTTAATTCATGTAAAAAAAAAAAATGAAAAGTTGATATTTTCTGAGGCCCCTTCAACTTTCTTAATTATTTTTTGGTGAAGAAATCTGAACTTATGCCTTACATCGTGGTTGAAACTGGTGGTCGGTAACTTGATCATAGTTTTTTTTTTAATTTAAGAACCTAATTCAATTGCACACCGTTGCTTACCGGATCCTTCCCAACACCTATAAGGGTGGTAAAAGCACTGCCATTCTGGGTCTGGGCCTTATTTTGGATTTCCTGCCAACCTATTTCTTCACAGCACATTCGTCTATTCAATCACACAAAATACCACATACACTTAGTCCAACATAAAACTTTAACATACAACTTATTAGTACACTTTACATATTTGCAAGTCTATTTCACATAACACATTACATCCATTGTGGCTCTGCTCCAACTCAGTCTGAAGAGTCAGAGCCGGCTGTACTATGACAATTAAGTTATAGTTATCGTTCTCTGTACTGCTAGACGATCATTGCAGTGACGTCATTATCACCGATCGTTATCGCTACCTATCTGTTATCGATTCCGTGGTAGTATCCATACTATAGAAGAGATGGCCTGAAGATGGTCTGGGGAAAGTTTCAGTATAAACGACAGTGGCGTAGCTAGGGTTAGGTGAGGTAACTCCCGAACAAGACCAAAAATGGATCCTACCTAGGGTCATCCCACTCTAAACTTTGTATTTCTTTCAACATACCCATAGATATCTGGAAATATCTAAAAAATACTTAAAAATACCTAGCGATAGTTTGTTTATTCGGTTGCTATGGGAAAATTTCAGTGACGCAGTGGTGATGTTGTTTCACTCGCAACTATTTTTGAAAAAAATTAAGTGTTGTCAAACGAAAGTGTATCAAAAGTGCTTCTGAACGTGTTTCGTAGTTGGGTGTGGTGAAATTCGTGCATTCCCGGTTGATTTTGGAAATTCGTATCACAAAATTGCCCACCGATTCCTTTTTTATGCCGTTCGATGACTACGGGGGTGCTTTCGCGAGAGTGACGATTATTGGATCCGTTTCTTTGTACGGGTGTGTTTTTTTGTAACTAGCGTAAGTGTGCCTGCGATTTGCATTGAGTGTCGGAGATTGTAAGTAATCTGAAGGATGCCTCGCTGGATACGCCGAAGACTGGACGGGCCGTAGCTGCTGGCCGTGAACGGTTCCTGGGGAAAGCACTAGATGCGACCCTCCTCCCAGATGACCATGGCAATACAGGCAGTATTACAACAAAGGTAATTACTATTAGATATTTTGCAAACAGTGACAGATAGTGGACATGAAGAACCAGTGTAGGTGCCGGGCAAAGGTGTTTATCCTAAACAAACGGTAAGTTACAAATTCGCTGTTATCGTTGTCGTAGGCGCCGTCGTAGTCGCTGTCGTAATCGCCGTCGTAGGCGTAGGCAGTACGTTAGTATATTTAAAATTAACCATCAACCGCTGAAAATATGAACTATCGCGTATTTCTGTTGTTCATTACATGCCAAGTGAAATTCGAGAACGTGATTTCATTTGAATAGCTTGTTTAACCAGGTCTTAAACAATCGTCACGTCGGTCATAGCTTGTTATGATTGCCTGAACCATCTCTTTCGTAGCTTTACTCTTTCGTAGCTTTTAGTTTTATGATTTCAAAGATCGTCGGCTTGCTTACTGAGCAGAAAAACGCGGTCCCAGGTCCTTTCATATTAAAAATGTATGGTAAGATCGCTTGTTTATCGTGTATGTTGTAAAACTTTTCGTTGTCGTCGGTGCCGGGTTTGAATAGTTATAAAAACTAGAGTAACGCTATAATGTGATATGAGGGGCTCAGCGGCCTTAGAGCAAACGTTTTTGCTTACTGAGCAGAAGATCGTGGGTTCAATCCCAAGCTCCTTTGCGTTATATGATTGTTAGGATATCAATTCAGTTTATCGTTTACCAAAACGAACCCTGCTGCAAACTTAACCCTCTTACCCTACATCCCTGTGATTCCTCGTGGAAGTGCAGAAGACTCCGCGGCTTCCATCAAAGCGAGTGTCACGTCAACACATTCCTACCCATTTCTTTCTTGACCTGCGTTCAGTCACGGCTGGCGCTGGTATTGCCTAATTCGAGATCAAGAGGTTTTTCAAATTGAGGATGATTACTAGTCCCAAGCATCGTCTATTGGTTCTCTGTGTAATTACAGCTGGTCTGGCAATAACAGAGTAACAACCGTGGGCGGTCAATCATGCTCATGCTCATGCTCATGCTCGGTTGCTATGGGAAAAATTCAGTTATTTATCTTTCCGGCGTCAGGGATTTTTTGTCGATCTTTATAAATTTCATACGACATTCACATTAACAGTATTAACTGCACATTCAATTAACAGTATTACAGCCAACGGCTAAAAGTATCCTTAATAAAGATATATATATATAAAAAAAAAAAAAAAAAATAACAGTATTAAGTGCACGCCACTGACCATATCCAGTTTGACTCGTTGACCCAGTCTCAGAAGGAAGTATGGACTTTGGAACATATCAACCATTTCTCGTTTAAGTTTTTAGTTCATATTATATATCTGGAAATGGCTTTCGTGTTAGATTTCAGCTGCTAAGATCTTAATCGTGTGATAATGGAAAAGAGCATTTGATCTGATGGAAGCTGAATCGGAAGTTATTAGAGTTTTAAAACCATTCGATTCGCATCATACTTGTGGCATCTGGAGAGCTGAGTCTCGTAGCTTCCGTAGCTACATTTCCACGGGTTTCACCCCTTACGATGCCCTTTTCCTTTTAGCTCATAAAGGTTACCTAGCTGGACATGATCGAAGCGAAATATTCGTTCGATTCTAAATTTAGAACGGGTTGATTATGATTATCTCACTATTAATTTAACAGGAGATTTTGAAATAACAGAACAGAATAACAAGTTTATCCATAAACCATTATAGAAAAGGATAGGACGATGAGAGCAAAAAATTCACTTTTCCCTTATAAACTTCAATGCGCCAGTGCAGTATTAGATCGCAACCAACTGAGCTTACATTTTACGAACAAACCCATAAGAAGTATTCCGCTTCCCGTTTCGCAATGATTTTCTTAGCCTTTCTGATTTGTCTCTTTTGGCCTCATGTAATTTGGGAAGCGTTTTCATAAATGTGGCTGAAGAACAGGACGTAATCAAGTTTAAAATAGAGATTTCACATTTTCCGTTATGGTTCATTAGGTCGACCGCCGGTTGACTGATGCACTCACTTGAGCAAATGTTTAATTAGCACATTATTTGAATAATCATGACATAATTTATTTTAACGTGGTAATAACTTACTTTCAATGAAATGGCTTATAATGGCTTATAATTTCCTGAGCATTTAGATTCATCTGATTTACCCCAATCAGTAAAGACACGCCATACCATGCAAGATGATGTAAGTTTAATTCCTGATCAGGATGGGGATTTTTCCGAGATTGCAATTTTCAAACTTAAAATGGTTTCAAAGACTTCTATGACTAGACACTTAAGGAATTTGCAAGTAGTAAACGAAATATGTATCTGTTATAGTTCAAAGTGAAAGGGAAAGTGAAAGTGAAAGTGATGCAAAAGTAGTAGAATTGAAAGGAGAAATAGACGAAAAAGGTATACAATTAATCTACTAAAACGCTCATTAATCAATTTAGTATGATTTTAGATGTACTCATTAATACGCATTTATTCACAATTCATCACACACAAACAGACAGATCATCGCTTAGAACAGTCCCCAGTGCTTCTTCTTGTGCTCCTTGATGTGCACGGTCACTGGAACATGCTTCTCGATGTAAACCGGCTTCTGGACGTACACTGGAACGGGCTTCTCAACATGAACTGCGTACGGTTTTGGCACTTCGACGTATTCCTTGTGGACAACTGGGACCTTCACTTCGACTGGGTATGGGACTGGGCGGTCAACGTGGTATGGAACCTTCTTTTCCACATAGATTGGCACTTTCTTCTCCACGTAGACTGGAACCTTCTTCTCGACATGCACCGGGTATGGGACCTTCACTTCAACTGGAACATGCTTAACGACCTCAACTGGGTACGGGACTGCAACGTTCTTGGTGATGGTGGTTGAGACATGCTTAACTTCTTGGTGATGGTCGTCAAAATCGTGGGAATCGTGACCGTATCCCAGCTCCCAGAGGCCTCGTTTGTCCTTCTTGGAAGAATCGTCAACTGCCGCACAGGAGGCAACGGCCAAAGCCATGGACAACACTACGAACGCCTGAAAAGATATGATCGAATGGAACTAGTTACACTTCTATTAGAAAGCGACTTAATTTATTTACCTTCATTATATGAGATGCCTTAATTGCACGAACTGCGTTCCAGTGATTTTTTAGACTGAACTCAACTGATGAGACTGCGGTGAGCGAGTGATATCTTTTCCTCTAACAGGTGTGATTTTTATATTGTTTCACCAAAAAACGCAGAAAGTCGATCTGGTCCGAATTCACTTCGTAAGCTTGCAGCACCACTGTTTGATTAATCCAAAAACCGAACTCAGTTGTCGGTCATGGAAAATGAAAAATGCATCAGATAATCCGAAAACAGTTGTTACCCATTAGGTGAAGGTCGTCTGGTAGATGCTCTTGGAAACAGTGATGAAAAACTACGAACGATTATTAGCTTTAAAAGTGATTGGATGATTCATTTCTGATTGCTTTTGAGATAAACGAATTTGCTGACACTTTTTAAACGATTTATTGTAACGTCATATTGCTACGTGAAAGATCTTCTGCATCACAACGGTTGCATTGATTGGATTTAAATGCCTCTAGTTAAGCAATGGTTCACTTAAATAATTACGTAACAGCAACACTCCTCACCACTGCATACCATCCTCGAATTTACTCGCAGCATAAGTTCATGGGATATCCCCATTAGCTCCACGTCCATACGTGCATCCCACGGTTCAGACACCCATCGTCGTTGGCACCTATGGGCACCTTCCGAATCATCGGGAGTGAATAAACCTTCGGTGCATGCGCAAACGAAATGCCAAACTACGGCTTCGTCTGTCACCGCACCAAGTAGGCGCATGGTGCGCACGCGTCTGTTTTGGAAACCTTGCCACAACAGAAAACAGTCTTCCTCCTAGAACATACGGTTCCCTAGGCAACTCCCGTCGCCTACCACTTTAGTACTAAGCCAAACACGCTTGCCTGCTGAACGGTTCTAGAGATCATCGTTTGCGTCGGGTTCCACCTTGATCGAGTACATTTTTACGGCGAGCATATCGATTTTTCTTTTTTCGTATCTTGCGACCTGCATTAGGAGAAAAGGCGCACGTGCTACAGTCTAATTAGAATAAAACACGTAACGGGTTGAGAATACTGCGGTTTTGCGGAAAATGTGCGCATGTTTGTCTAACTTTTCACGCTCGTCGTCGGGTTGGTGAATAAGAACGTGCTTGGATTGCAACAGTCCCGTGAGTTGAGTTTGTTTTGATCGTTTGGCTAAGGTTCTGCATGTGCAAATTGCAAGTCCAATCTAGTGCAATGCAGTGTCTAATACGATAGAGTGGAAAAGGCAAAGTGGAAAATTAAGGTTGAAGTTGTGACGAATGTGGGTTTTTATATGACAGGATGATGTGAAGAAATGCTGATGAAAGTCAGTCCAAAGAAGTGAAAAGTACGTGGTTGCTGCGATGATGGCAAATTTATGCGAGTGAGGGGAAATTTTTATGGGAATGGTTCGCCGCAAGCGTAAAGCGAAGCATGCTGCGTCGTTGTTTACAGTGCAATAAAGATGTGAATATTGGCGTCGCAACGATGAGTGATGTGAAGTTGAGGTTTCGGTCTAACCTAGTAGGACGGGTTCTAAGCGACTGCCAAGATGCGGAACATATCTGATGGAGGAACGAAAACGACAGCTTCTGTTGGTTTGTGGTGGTTTTATTGGATGGTTTTAGTGCTGCTGATTGGGATATAGTTGACGAAGAAGATCGGTTTCATGGGCAAAACTTCATAGACGGAAATTGTGGCATTTCCTGTTTCGGCGATTGATGGATGAGAAATTCTCCGATGATGAGTGTCATCGGTTTTATTGATATCGATTACGGGTTCAATCTATAAAACAATGTGCAATTCCTAACGTTTCATCACAATCCAACCCTTTGAGATCTTTCCCACTGTTCTGTTTGTTCCCTTTGCAGCATTTATTTGTTGAGTCTGGGACTACTGTCAGTCACTTTTTCCCCGAATCGATCCAACCAAACTCCGTGTTTATTTATCTTTCTTCTCGTTCAGTGTTTGCTGTCTCCAGAATTCCGGCCCTGTGCGTCTCTGTTTGTTTACCAAATGCATCTTTTATATCCGTCGAGGCTTTCAAGCTTCAAACGATCGGGAAAAGAATAATAAGTTCTGGGGGTCCACACGCCTACTGCATATTTACGTTCTGGAAATAAAACCAATTTATATTTGGACATCTGAATTATTCTCGGCATTCGACCATAAACCAGAACAGCGTGGAAGGTATTAGCAGCAGCCGTTATCGATACACACAGCGGAGGCAGTAAAAGATCTAGAAAGGCAGCAAAGGTCCAAAAGTGCGGACGGTAATTGAAATCAGTAATTAAAATCAGCTCGCCTCCATCAAATCAAATTTATTTCCCCCCTTTCTCGGGCGGATCCATTGAATGCTAAGCTGCCATGATATAATCCAGCAACATTGTAGCCAACCGAGTTCAGACTTGACGAGGGGCCCAGTAAAAGCGCGTGCCGAAGGGAATTCATATAAATAACTCAATTAAGAGAGAAAGTCCAAATATCCTTATCTAAATTTGTTCATATTTGGCTAAACAAGCCTTCTTCGACCAACCAGATGGTGTGCAGTCATGGCCTTCGGTTCACACCCCAGTCATCATTAACTGCAGGAATGGCCTACTTTTCTTCGCTTCTCGGACTCCCTAGCTCCTAATAAATTTCTGCTTCGATCCCCTTTTTCCGCAGTAAAAACAGAAAGAAAGCTGCTCCGAAAATGAAACGGATGTAATTTCCAAAGCGTTTCCTTCAAATCCCCCGGTCGTCGCCGCAGCGAAGCTGGCGTTGAAAAATTCGGTTACATTTTTTGGTGATTTCTTGTCATTTATTTACCTTTTCCTCTGCTTTGAAGAATCGGATCGGGTCGTGGCCTACTGCTTTGCGAGGGAAATTAATCTATCACGCCCTCGCTCTTTGTGCTTTGCCAAGTCGTCTAGCGTGATGAGATGCAGAGACATTGACGCGTTGATAAGCATCTTGATTGAACGCCCCGGACGCATTTGTTGACACTTGAACTTGTGTTGCCCTTCGTCGGCTGTGTTGCATTCTGAAACAGGGTGGGTTTAGACATGTTGACGTGGGGATATAGGTGTTGTGCTAGAGGTATTGAAATTGTTTAGTCAAGGGAACAATGATTGAGCGAGGAAATGGTTTTGGTAATATTTAAACGATGAAATGCTCCTACATTGGAAAAATGATCTTTTACTACGTAGTTGTCGTGGCCTGACCGAGGTTTCCAGCCTCAGCCACGGCTACACGCATTAATGGTGCAGCTCCCACGGCTGCGGCTGCTTTCAATCCTGCTGCTTTTGTTGTTACTGTTGGCAATTCTAACTATTTCAAAATTTTCTCAGTCCATCCATCAGGTCATGGCAATTCTAACTATTTCAAAATTTCCTCAGTTCATCCATCAGGTCATGGCAATTCTAACTATTTCAAAATTTCTTCAGTCATTCCAGCAGATCATGGCAATTCTAACTATTTCAAAATGTATTCAGTCCATCCAGCAGATCATGGCAATTCTAACTATTTCAAAATTTCTTCAGTCCATCCAGCAGATCATGGCAATTCTAACTATTTCAAAATTTTCTCAGTCCATCCATCAGGTCATGGCAATTCTAACTATTTCAAAATTACCTCACTCCATCCATCAGGTCATGGCAATTCTAACTATTTTAAAAATCTCCTCACTCCATCCATCATATCATGGCAATTCTAACTATTTCAAAATTTTCTCAGTCCATCCAGCAGGTCATGGCAATTCTAACTATTTCTAAATTTTCTCAGTCCATCCATCAGGTCATGGTAATTCTAACTATTTCAAAATTTCCTCACTCCATCCATCATATCATGGCAATTCTAACTATTTCAAAATTTTCTCAGTCCATCCATCAGGTCATGGCAATTCTAACTATTTAAAAATTTTCTCAGTTCATCCATCAGGTCATGGCAATTCTAACTATTTCAAAATTTTCTCAGTCCATCCATCAGGTCATGGCAATTCTAACTATTTCAAAATTTTCTCAGTTCATTCATCAGGTCATGTAAATTCTAACTATTTCTAAATTTCCTCAGTCCATCCATCAGGTCATGGCAATTCTAACTATTTCAAAATTTCCTCAGTCCATCCATCAGGTCATGGCAATTCTAACTATTTCAAAATTTCTTCAGGCCATCCAGCAGATCATGGCAATTCTAACTATTTCAAAATTTTCTCAGTTCATCCATCAGGTCATGTCAATTATAACTATTTCTAAATTTTCTCATTCCATCCATCAGATCATGGCAATTCTAACTATTTCAAAATTATTTCACTCCATCCATCAGATCATGGCAATTCTAACTATTTCAAAATTTTCGCAGTCCATCCAGCAGGTCATGGCAATTCTAACTATTTCTAAATTTTCTCAGTCCATCCATCAGGTCATGGCAATTTTAACTATTTCTAAATTTCTTCAGTCATCATGGCAATTCTTATTTACCATCCATCAGGTCCACCATCCTGGCTTGGATGGTTTTTGTAAGACGATTGCAATGGGTCTTCAAAACACGTAAATCAGAACTGATGAGATCTTTGGTAATTCTATCAAAGTATTGCTCATCACTGCTCGCCTCCTTGATGGAACGCAGATACCGGTCAACGACTTCGGGCGTCTCCGGAAGGGCACCGTAGTCGAAACAGTGTTAAAACTGCTCCCAGCTGACACGATGGTAGTTGCGTCGGGAAGCTTGGATTCGGTTGACGGATGAGCCTACTTCGGCCACCACCGGATAGTGGTCCGAACTCAGCTCCTGATGGGTCACAGGTAGCGAGATGTTGTCTCCCATGTTGCTGATGAAGATGTCTATCGTGAAGTGAACGCCAGACCGGCTCAACCGGGAAGGACAGTCCGGCGCTAATATGGTGTAGTGAGCCTCTTGCAGGATGGTGCCGTTTTGGTTGCGTCGACTGTTGCCCCAAGCCTGGTGTTTGGCGTTCAGGTCACCAGCGATGATATTCTTTTCGCGCCGTTAGTTTGATGATGCCCCTCCGCAGGTCTGCTGCCGACCCGGCCCTGATGGTGGCTTG